TGGGCAGGCCGTGCGTTGGCCAATTATTTTGATTTTCGCTCTAATTGTTGATTGAAAATCACGTGCATACTTATTTTTTAAAAATACTCGCTTGTTCCCAGTTGTAACTCAGAACTGTAGCTCACTTACTCACCTTATCCAATTTCTTTCGCCGTGGAAGTAACTAGCAATCACGTAGAGGGCCTAATATCCTTACTATTGTGGCTCGAACAGTGTCTGGACCGCGAGAAATAATAGGAGGGAAAATCACTTGGTTTTTTATCACTGATTTCTCAAAAAAATCATCTCATCTTATCGCACTGATCACTGCAGATTTACCCGTACTGGACATACAGCTATTTGATAACGCTCATCCCGATATTTCTGCTTACTGATTTGCTGCTTTACAAGCCGGTCCTTATTCTGGAGAGTATCGGCTATATGGTATTTAGGTGTGCTTTTTTGACATTTTCAACATTTCTGCATCATTTTTTAATGCACTTATTGATGATTCGCATTGTTAAAATGCCCATCTCACTCTGCTTTCCCGCCTTTTTAATTAATGTAGCTTTATCGTCTAGAAATGAACGAACGCAACAGTAGTTCGTCGAGAAAAGAATTTTTTTATAGAATTTTTTTAATGATTTTTTTTGTGATATTTTTTTATGGTTTATTTTTTCATGATTTTAAGAAAATTTTTATGATACGTTTAACTTATAAAACATATTTATCATATGGTGCGAAATCATATGCATTTCCTCTGTTATTAATGAAATGCGGTCAACATGCAAGCTCCTTCTGTTCTCAAGACTGCATCAGCCACGGCAACAAATTTTTAGAAGCCAACAAAATATGTCTTGTTTTAACTGAATTGAATTATTGTTGTGAGCAGTGCTAATGTCCTTGATTTTAGGTATTAAGCATCTGCACAAAAAAGCCCATCGTTTTTTTTTATTACAACGTATTACGGGATAAAATGAGACAAAAATTTCGGTGAAAAATACACTTTTGATTTTCTTTAACTCATACCATTTCAGTAAGGTAACTTAGGCTGCAACGTACCAGCCTTGCCGGTGCGATGATGCGTTTTGCATTAAACTCGCTGATTGCTAACAGCAGGAATGATTTCTGCGCTGTAGTCTAACACTTGGGCTCATGGTCTCTTTCTGCATGCAGCACTCTGGTCTCTTCCTGCATGCAGCATAAAGGGCGTCTGTTGGGATGAAGGTGTTGCATTATAGGAGAGCGTGAACCTCCAGATGCACGATTATCAGTTTTCTGCACGAAGCTCGGTAGCCTCGCTCTTCAAAAAAAAAATGCAAATTTCCAATTCGCTAAAAAGTGAAAATATTGCTCGAGCAGTCGTTCGTCAAAATCTGTGAGAGGATAAGGGCGATCGCCCGCTGCAAAATGCACTTGTTTCTGATTTTTCGGTAAAGTTGAATATTTCTCATGCCAAACTACAGGGATTTTTACCTGCAGGCAAAATTAAGACCGCACTTGAAAGTAGAATATCCCAACAAAATTTCAGCCTCGCACCTTATCCGGCAAGTGAAATAGCCACTTCGCTACAAATATAGACGAATCCAGGGGGAGAGAGACCGAGAGGTCTTTTGCCCCAGGGGCTTAGGTAGCAGTTATTTTACTGTAGAAAAATCTACTTGAAACCCGCTGTCGCCCTCCTTCCCAGGAGCCTTCGAGAGGGGTGTGTGGTGACGAAGGAAGAACGTGAGGTGAAAAACTGCCCCTTCCTCCCTTTCTCGTCCTCCCTCTCAGAGATCACCCTGCTTCCGTCTACGGCTACAAATCATTGAAGTGCCCTAAGTCATGGCGTAAGTGCAATTCGGCACTCATTTTAGTTATACAGTTCGATAAAAGTGCTGACGAAATTTCGTCATTGCTTTCTGGCCAATTTCTGAGTTGGGATAGTGCCAAGTGAAAGCTCTGAAATGATCGTACGCGCTGTACAAGCGTGCGTGACAGCTGATTTTGAAGTCTTAACTCGCACATGTGCAAAGAATATCCCTGCAAATTTTTAGCTTTGTGCCTTGCCTGGTTCGCAAAATTGTTTCCCACCGAAGGAATTTTCATATTTTTCTTGAGGGTCCGTACGCGAGGTCTAGACGTGTATGAGCAAAAATGTTAAAATGGATGGGTGACACACCGGGTAGGAATATATACCCAAAATTTGAGTCTCCCAGCTTTCCTGGTTTCTGTGATGAAAGTGGATGACAAAGTTCACTCACTTCTGATCACGTACAAACACAGACGACTTCTTGACAATATGCGTTGTTGCTGGCTGTAGCTGCTATAGTGCTGCACAGCAAAAACGCATAAAAATCACGCCAAATTCGCTAATTTTTTATACAAAACAAGTCTTCAAGCATAAACCTCTACTAAAAAAAACTTAAAAATCTTAAAAAACTTAAAAAGACGCGCGGTAAAATTTAAGTTGCTTGTATTTGCTTGCGGAACGCTATCAACAAAATGATTCATCTAAATGAGTCGATGCTTACGAGGCGTTACTTGAAAAAAAAAATACTTTTTGGATTGCAGAATCACGTTAGTATTCGGATGGGGTGTGTTCTCACAGCAAATCGGAATGGTTTTCTATGGGATTGCATCGGCCGCCGAGATTGCATTCTATTCCTATATTTATGCAAAAGTTGAAAAGCACGATTATCAGCGGTTCGATGAGTTGTTTTTAGTGGTTGAAGCCTGAAATTTTCAATGATCTCGTTTAAATCCCCGTGAATCTCGAATTCTTTGCAAAGATTTAAATTGTTCGTGTGAAAAATGAAGTTAGTATCTCGCAGAAT